GATATATACACACACAGATGTGTGGAATTCATATTGCCAGATGCCCAGGACAAGATCTGAGTGATCATGAACTTTACCATTATACCATTGGTCAAGTGTTATTTTTTTCACATCTTTCAATCTACCAATATAAAAACAGATTTCCAGGGAGCCAAGCAAGTTCCAGAAATACACATATACATACTTAAAACTGCGTACTTCAAACCAAAACTATATATATATATATGTATATAAATCTCTTTAATTCACAAACCCTCAGTCACACCACAAATGCAGCAATAACACTACTTTGCTTTTGCCTACAGTAGGAGTCATCACAATAATAGTCATCACAAAAAAGCACTGTTTTTTTGTATAATAATATGTAAAGGTTTCATTTAATAAATAATGAACTCTTGTTTTCATAGCATTAATTTTAAAAAATGCAGAAAAAGAAACAATTTCCCTAAAATCAGATATACAAGATTTTACATCTGAAACTCTTCATATATATATATGTACATATATAATTCAAATATGATCATTGATATTCACATACATACAGTTTATATGTTTAAACTGTAAAACTATTCAAACAGCTGGAAACAGACAGAAAATAAGCTGTATTTTAGTGTTTTAAACAGCTGGAAACAGACAGAAAATAAGCTGTATTTTAGTGTTTTAATAAAATGAAAATGGCATACTACTTTTAGGGTTTTGCAGTGCAAACCAAAATTCTGAGGTTCCTATATTGAGAAAGAGAGAGACAATACACTGACGACTCAACTGTTTGTATAATTTCTAAGTTTGAACCTGTTTATCCTTTAAATTATTTTGCAGACACAGATAAAGGCACTTACAGGTTTTTTGTAAAAGTTGGCCAAATTGCAACATGTAAATGTTTAAGTGTCTAATGATGCAAAACACTAAAATACAGCTTATTTTCTGTCTGTTTCCAGCTGTTTGAATAGTTTTTACAGTCAAGAGTCTAATGATGCAAAACACTAAAATACAGCTTATTTTCTGTCTGTTTCCAGCTGTTTGAATAGTTTTTACAGTCAAGTGTTTAATGATGCAAAACACTAAAATATAGCTTATTTTCTGTCTGTTTCCAGCTGTTTGAATAGTTTTTACAGTCAAGTGTCTAATGATGCAAAACACTAAAATATAGCTTATTTTCTGTCTGTTTCCAGCTGTTTGAATAGTTTTTACAGTCAAGTGTCTAATGATGCATCACTACAATCTAATTGATTCAAGTTCTATGTGGGAAACACCCATGTCACGTGGATAGCACACCATATTTCTGTCAAGAAGGCTCAGGATTGAATCCCAAATATTATCAACACAAAAATAGTACTTTTCAAGACTTCCCTGAAGATGGCAGCAGTGAAAATGTAGAATAATTAAAAACTAATTATAAAAAACCTTTTTTTTTTTACCATTTATTGAGACTTAGATGATTTTAAAAGCTACTAACTAAGATGAAAACTTCATTGAAGTGTCACCAGTATTTAAAAAAAACAAACTTAACTGGCATAGGTAGAAAATATAAATCAAGATACAATACTGAACCGTAGCTGAAAAAAAAACCTATAATAGTACATTTGTTTTACTTAGTCATTCTTTTCTAATAACAATTATTTTTATCTTAACACACACAATAAATATATATGTGTGTGTGAATTGAAAACTAAACTTGTTCCAAAGATAAACTACTAAAAAAATTAATTTGGCCCTTTCCTTGTTCCACTAAATACATACAATACTTGATAAAGAATAAAACAAATTGTTCCAGTATCCAGTGTTAGATTGTAGTGATAATTTGTTTTATTCTTTATCAAGTGTTCCTGTATCCAGTGTTAGATTGTAGTGGTAATTTGTTTTATTCTTTATCAAGTGTTCCTGTATCCAGTGTTAGATTGTAGTGATAATTTGTTTTATTCTTTATCAAGTGTTCCAGTATCCAGTGTTAGATTGTAGTGATAATTTGTTTTATTCTTTATCAAGTGTTCCAGTATCCAGTGTTAGATTGTAGTGATAATTTGTTTTATTCTTTATCAAGTGTTCCAGTATCCAGTGTTAGATTGTAGTGATAATTTGTTTTATTCTTTATCAAGTGTTCTATTATTCAGTGTTAGATTGTGGTGATAATTTGTTTTATTCTTTATCAAGTGTTCTATTATCCAGTGTTAGATTGTAGTGATAATTTGTTTTATTCTTTATCAAGTGTTCTATTATCCAGTGTTAGATTGTAGTGATAATTTGTTTTATTCTTTATCAAGTGTTCCTGTATCCAGTGTTAGATTGTAGTGGTAATTTGTTTTATTCTTTCTTCTTAGCTTCTTCTGGAATAAGCCAATACTGAATATTATTTAGTATTTTTGAACACACTTGTAAAGAGCCTGTAAGTTTTATTATGACCGATATTGTAATTAATTGCTTCAAACTTTCAATAAAAAGAACATGATATTTTATTGTAGGATGTTCAAATATGCACAACAAATATTGAAATAGCAAAATTCAGTATTTGTTTCTGGTCTAGTTAGAAGTCAGGAACGTAACAGAAATACAAGACCTGGTAGTACTAATCTACCTGTAGTAGTCCATCATGCCAAATAAGACTAAGATAAATTAGAATAAAACCAAAATAATAGGATACGATTCATATATTAAAAGCTTTCTACATCCCCTCAGTCTCCCTACCAAAGAAGCTAGCTAAGCCTAGATACCTTTCTTGAAAAACATTCAAATAAGTCAGCGAATAACTCACTAAACTTCCACCAAGAAGCCCCAGGATTGAATCCCTGCCACTACCAACACAGAAATATTCCTTCTCAGGACTTCCCTGAAGATGGCTGTAGAATAGCAACCAAAATGTGGGATAAAAACTAGTTAATAATTAGATAACTGTAGTTAAGAACAAAGTTATACAATTGGCTATCTGTGCTGTACCCATCATGGGTACTGAAAACTGGTTTTTAGTGTTGTAAATTTGCACTGTGCCACTTGAGGGTAATTAATGATTGGTCTGAGATGAATGTAAAAGTATTAACCGTGACAATGATTGATATCTGATCACCTCACAACATTACTAAAATTACTGTTATGTAATGCTAATAAACCTACGAACCTTGGCTATAATTATAAAGCATTGAAAAGTTTCTTATAGCATAGATAGAAATTCACTGTATATTGAACCATGTTATTTAACTTCAATGTTACCATTAAAAAAAATTCTACAACATTCTTTTTTAGGCTTAGCTTTGTAATCTTTTAGTCAACATTATCACTGAGATATTTTTTGTCAATATGGCTTTCCCATATTACAAAATAATTCAGATTGTAGGCACTAACTGGTAGTGGTTGTTAGTGTCCCTCTGTCTGCACTGCTGCCAAATCAGGACTCCACAGATCAATCAGTAGCACAGACACTGCAAGTCCAAGTCCAATTACAGCAATAGCTGGAATGATAATTATCTTGTGATTACATTTTATATCACATTTACAGATTATTCTTACAATTTCAACTTTACTCATTACAAAAATAAGAATATAAATGGGCTAGATTCACACACAAAAAAAACAAAGAAACTTCAGTTTAACACCATTATGTACTGCAAGTTGAGTTAAACGTGCTAACGTGAAATTGACTTTCAAAATCACATATTTCTGAAATAAGAATAAGCCTAGTAGAAACCACACAATTGCTATCTACACAGCAGAGAATTAACAGCTATTTCCATAACGTGCCCATTGCTATCTACACAGCAGGGAATTAACAGATATTTCCATAAAGTGTCCATTGCTACCTACACAGCAGGGAATTAACAGCTATTTCCCATAACGTGTCCATTGCTACCTACACAGCAGGGAATTAACAGCTATTTCCCATAACGTGTCCATTGCTACCTACACAGCAGGGAATTAACAGCTATTTCCATAACGTGTCCATTGCTACTTACACAGCAGGGAATTAATAACTATTTCCATAATGTGCTCATTGCTACCTACACAGCAGGGAATTAACCTTTATTTCGATAACGTGCCCATAGTTAAAAGTTTAGTTGCATATTGGAACGTTCTATCTGTAGCTCAGCACAATAATAATTAGGCCAACAGTTCCCAAATTGTGGGTCATGACGAGGTGATTACAATTAGGCCTACTTTTCTTCTAGATTATGAAGATTTGAAAATTGTCACTTGATTACATTGGTTGCTATGATGCTTTGTCATTTTGAACAATGTTCGGGGTTGTAAAAATCTTTTTATTTCTAAGAAATGTGGTCACGTACATAAAAAATAAGGGCTGCTTTAGGCAACATCCAACCATATATATCCTACAGGAAAGATATCCATGAACACAAACTTGTGTAACCCATAACTTACCATTTTTAGACACAACTTCTTCAACAGCCAAACCACATTCCTTTTCCCAGTCCTGCGGTATAAGGTTAGATGTCAGATGGATAAAGTGTCCAACTGGACATTCGGGTTGTGGACACTCAGGAAGAGTCAAAGGGTACGGGTCAGTGCTAGAGTCATTAAGATAGAAAACTTTGATGAAATGATTATGCTGTCCATTTCTGTGGAGTTCGAGGATGATTGTGGCACAGTAAGGAGGAGCCAACATGTTGTAGACACCAAGAGCATGAAGTAATAGTGACACTTGAGTATCGTGCTAGCAATGAAACAATCTTATTGTCAATTTAAATTACTTTGCCAAAAATGAATAAAAATCTAACAATACACATGGTTTAACAATAGTTTTTACTTCACTGTAGCCATAAGCTGGTATAATGAAATTCTGAAACAAAAGGAAAAAATTCTGAACCTTAAAATGCTGAGTTACGCGTTTTCTCTATGTAATTGGAACTTATGCGATTCAATTGAAAAAACTGGCAAATAGTAAGAACATGTAACTTGTTTCAAACACATGCACATTATATCTTATTTGTTAAGTTAAGTTTAGTGTTCTTTACGGTAGGTTATTATAAAAAAATTGGAAGTTAAATACTTCAGCCATTCACTTGGTAGTTAAAAAAACTTCAGGACACTCAAAATATTTTATTAACACTACCTACTAACGCTCTCTGTATTCACAGATAACGATCATTAATACTTTCTGTTGGCATTGATAGTAGTGCTGCTTAATCAACAAAACTGACACTCAGGAACATCAATACTACAACCAACCTAGAATTCCTTAACCTTACAATCATTAACAAGATCCCATTGGCTTTTTTTAAAAACTATTTATGTACAACATTATTCGTTACAGGGTCTCAAATAACACACAAAATATTATAAAAAAAAAAACACTGTAGTTAATGTCATCAATCTGGAAAAACAACAACACTGCAGTTAATGTCATCAATCTGGAAAAACAACAACACTATTGACGACATTAACTACAGTGTTGTTGTTTTTCCAGATTGACGACATTAACTACAGTGTTGTTGTTTTTCCAGATTGACGACATTAACTACCTGGAAAAACAACAACACTGTAGTTAATATCATCAATCTCAAAAAACAACAACACTGCAGTTAATGTCATCAATCTGGAAATAAAAATAACATCAACAGTTAATGTCAACAATTCGAAATAAAAATACCATCAACAGTTCATGTCATCAATCTGAAAATAAAAACACCATCAACACTTCAGTTAATCATTAATTTCTGGTGGGATCCCCTGTGTCTTTTAAACAAAAAATGGAGGATTTCACCCAATTCCCTTCATCAGTTCTTTACGCTGAGTTTGTAACACATGAAAATGTAAACTATGGTTATTAATAATACCAGTGAATGGGACAAAAACAAGTCAGTAACTGGCAGTTTAAATTACTTTCAAAATTAACATTGCCTCCTAATGTTCCATAAAATGACAAAACATACATACAACATCTTTGTTTGTTTCTTTTGAATCTCGTGCAAAGCTACACGAGGGCTATCTGCACTAGCCGTCCCTAATTTATCAGTGTAAGACCAGAGGGAAGGCAGCTAGTCATCACCACCCACCACCAACTCTTGAGCTACTCTTTTACCAACGAATAGTGGGATTGACCGTCACATTATAACGCCCCCATGTCTGAAAGGGCGAGCATGTTTGGTGTGATGGGGATTCGAACCTGCGACCCTCAGATTACGAGTCGATTGCCTTAACCACCTAGCCATGACATCTTCATTTAACATATCTGGTTTTCTACAACCAATGAACTTTGTACAAAATGACAATAAGAACAACTCTCATCAGTCGATTATAATTTTATCCTGCAGATAAAAACATGGTCAATTCTAAAAAAAAACTGTTGTACTCAGTAATGTAAATTACTTACTGAAGAATACATGAAAACTTTTAGTTCCGGGAGTTTTCCGTTAATTTTCTTCTGTATATTAGAAATCATATCTTTTAGCAGTAGGCCTGGTTTCCATACAAAAAAAACAACAAAACATCTTACAAACAATCTATTTTAGTTTCTGGCAATTAAACTTTAAAAAGAAAATATTAAAATTAAAACATTAAGCACATTTTGTAACTTTCTCATTCCTATTTCATGGTATGATCGAGAATAATGATTAATTCTCCATGATCTTGTAAATTATTTGATTTACACTTTTAAACAGGTATCACGCTCGGCTACAGAAACCATTTGGAGACTAGAGCTGGGTGATTGTGAAATATTGATTGGTGTTCATGTAAAATAACCGATTAGTCAGAATAATATTTATATCTACCAGTGTTCCTAATTATTACAATTATCCAGTAATGAAATTATTACCAATGCTATTCTTCATTGTTATTTTTTTTAATCAATAAAAGTTTGTTCAACTTAATCTATTAGTGTCACAACTCATGCGATCGAACAACTAATCAAAATTATGCTTTCCAATTATCCATGTAATTGTAATATCGTTGATATCTTGTTTGTTTCTTATTAGCCACAAAGATACAAAAATGGATTATCTGTTCTCTGCTCATCATGGTTATCAAAACCCGATTATTAGTATTATAAACCATCTCTTGAGAATAATCGATTAATCAACCAGACAATTCATCAATTAGAAAATTCCACTAATTACTCAGTTATAGTGGAAAACACACGTTTCAATACTAGTTTTATATTTTCTTTAAAATGAAATTTTGTTGGCAGAATAATGTTTCATGAAATTTTATTTCAAGTTCTGGTGATGTAGCACGGATACTTGAATATCAATATTTTTATTATCAGTAAAATTACATTCATGTTTGGTTTGTTTTGAACTTTGCACGAAGCTACACGAGGGCTATCTGTACTAGCCGTCCCTAATTTATCAGTGATAGACTAGACGGAAGGCAGCTAGTCATCACCACCTGGCACCAACTGTTGGGCTACTCTTTTACCAACGAATAGTGGGATTGACCGTCACTTATAATGTCCCACACGGCTGAAAGGGTGAGAATATTTGGTGGGACGGGGATTCGAACCTGCAATCCTCAGATTGCGAGTCGAGCACCCTAACCACCTGGCCATGCCGGGCTCTTACATTTATGTCATATCCATAAAAACAAAATGGAAGAACATTTCTGAAAACTGATTTTAAATTGTTTCTCAGATTTATCTACATTTATATTATTAGTATTGAAACAGTCTCACACCATATCTTAAGTCATAACTCTGAACTAATTAATATTTAATTAATAACTAATTAATATTTAATTAATAGCTAATTAATATTTCATAGATAAAATGACATTTCTGCATATTTGAATAATTTTGGTTTCCAAATAAAATTGTGTATTTTTAATTTATCGTCGTTATAACATGTTGATCCTGGTAATAATCACCCGATACTTATTTATAACGCAAACAAATCTTAGCGGGTTTATTTTACCTTACAGTTTCCTTTAAAAAGATTGCACGGTATATTGATTAAAACTGTAAAGTACAACATATTTGGTATAGAAGCTAGTTGAGGATTGGTCTTCAAAGGTAATAACCAAGCCAATGAGAGTAAGATATTTGTCCAAAAGAAAAGTAATAAGCAAGCCCTTGATGACTTTACCAGTTCTAAGCCTTAGTATAACCTCTGAATCAAATCCCAAGTGAAAGCTCCAGTTGCTAATGTTGACCAGTTTGTCCCACAGGGGTTCTACCCAGTCAGGCATGGTTAAGTTGTGGAGTTTCTAGATGGAAAAATACAAGAGAACTGCTGATTAGAAATACTTTACCAGTATTTAAATTATCAGTGTGACAATAGTTTCAAATCCAGTGTAAATCAAATAAAACAAGTAAACTTAACAAATAAATGATAAAAGATATCAGTGTGGCAATAGTTTCAAATACACTATCAATCAAACAAAACAAGTATACTTAACAAATAAATAATTAAAGATATCAGTGTGGCAATAGTTTCAAATCCACTGTAAATCAAACAAAACAAGTATATTTAACAAATAAATTATTAAAGATATCAGTGTGGCAATAGTTTCAAATCCACTGTAAATCAAAACAAGTATACTTAACAAATAAATGATTAAAGATATCAGTGTGACAATAGTTTCAAATCCACTATAAATCAAACAAAACAAGTATACTTAACAAATAAATGATTAAAGATATCAGTGTGACAATAGTTTCAAATCCACTATAAATCAAACAAAACAAGTATACTTAACAAATAAATGATTAGAGATATCAGTGTGACAATAGTTTCAAATCCACTGTCAATCAAACAAAACAAGCATATCTAACAAATAAATGATTAAAGATATCAGTGTGACAATAGTTTCAAATCCACTATAAATCAAACAAAACAAGTATACTTAACAAATAAATGATTAAAGATATCAGTGTGGCAATAGTTTCAAATCCACTGTAAATCAAACAAAACAAGTATTATTAACAAATAAATGATTAGAGATATCAATGTGACAATAGTTTCAAATCTATTGTAAATCAAACAAAACAAGTATACTTAACAAATAAATGATAAAAGATATTAGTGTGACAATAGTTTCAAATCCACTGTAAAGCAAATAAAACAAGTAAACTTAACCAATAAATGATTAAAGATAAGGAGAAAATGTTTAACTTTAAACAAACACATGCAAAACTAATAGAACTTGATACAATTTGAGAATAGGTTATCACCTCAATTTTCAATGTATCATACACATTCCCTGCATCTCTCCAAGTTTCAATCTTTTCACCAGAATGCTCAGACAGACTGCTGTAAAGTTTCTGTAAATGGAAAAAAAAAGATTAAATCAAGAATGAGTCACTTTAAATAATTTGTTCAGAATTTCTGCACTCCCCTACTTCAATATGTAATTGCAAATAACATTATTACAAGTGATGGAAACATTAAAAAACACCAGAAAATTCCACTATATCTTTTACGTTAAACATTTTTTTGTTCACATTATGGTTGTTTAACTCTGGTACTATGCTTTTAATCAACATGTGGGAGTTCAATACTCCTAAAAATGCTCACTTTGGTTTTGAACAAAGAACAATCATGAAGTCCTTCGATTTGGTCAGATTTCTTTGGAAGATTTATTACTTAGGTGATGACCATGTGTTTAACAACAAAGAAAAATCATGAAAAATAAATTATCTTGTATACAGTCAGTTCAATGATGCCAATGTACCAGCATGCACCAGAGTCTTATAATATACAGTCAATTCAATGATGCCAATATGCCAGCATGCACCAGAATCTTATAATATACAGTCAGTTCAATGATGCCAATGTACCAGCATGCACCAGAATAGTATAATATACAGTCAATTCAATGATGCCAATGTACCAGCATGCACCAGAATCTTATAATATACAGTCAATTCAATGATGCCAATGTACCAGCATGCACCAGAATCTTATAATATACAGTTAATTCAATGATGCCAATGTACCAGCATGCACCAGAATACTATAATATACAGTCAGTTCAATGATGCCAATGTACCAGCATGCACCAGAATAGTATAATATACAGTCAATTCAATGATGCCAATGTACCAGCATGCACCAGAATCTTATAATATACAGTCAATTCAATGATGCCAATGTACCAGCATGCACCAGAATCTTATAATATACAGTCAATTCAATGATGCCAATGTACCAGCATGCACCAGAATCTTATAATTAATTTTCCATATATAAATAACGAGTAAAGAGTGGTGTGTTTAACATTTGTTTTGTTTCATTTTAATGATGCAAAACCAATAGTAGCCCCACCTATTTCATTGTTACTATGTTAAGGGAAGCACTTATAAATGTACACTAATGTCTAGTCATGCTCTGTCTGATCACCATGCATCTTGACAATAGCCCTGCAGCATAGTTTCCATTGTAAAATGCTCCATTACAAGGTTGCATTGTCCAAAGCACACCACTAAATTTTGCAGGTTTTCCATAATTCATTTAATATATGAGAACATTAGTTACCACTGCCTGTTTCAACAGTCCAATCACATGGAAATTCATGAATACTGTTTTCACTCCCACCTACTTACGATATGTAATGATTGATCAGGAGGTATGGTTCAAAGCCTCCTATTGGCCTCATTTCCAGATGGAGATCCTTCTTTATTATTTTATGTACTGTTGCCTAGAGCACTTTGATGGCTCTTGACATTTACCTTTATACCTGTTGATTCTTGTCTATGATAAAATTCTGTACTTTGCTTAATACAGCTGGAGTACAATTTGTTGAAGGTCTCTTTCTGGATGATCTTGGTGCCCCAAGTTGATCCATATTCTTTTGTTTCAAATGCCAAAAAACTTTGGAAATTCTAAATCCACAAATTGAACACACCTTTATGATCTGAGTGCATGAATGTCTTGCGTCAGAAAGGACTGTTACAGACCCTTCCAAAAAGCAATAAATTTTTAGTGGCATCACACTACCTAAGAAACACCAAACAATGTCAAAATGTAGTCTGATACATGCCACACTTTTATGTTGCTTGTGGTTAGCCAGTGACTTACTGATTTGCATATTCAAAATAATTTTAATATAGTGTACTCAACCCTGTATGATAAACTTACTTTGTTTCATACTTTATGTAGTGTCAGTGTGTGTTTAAAAAAAAAGTTAACCCTTTATCATAAACTTACTTTGTTTCATACTTTATGTAGTGTCATTGTGTGTTTAACAAATAAGAAAGTAAAATAATAAATAAGAATGTTCATCTTATTTGTTTCATGCTGCAGCTATGAAGAGTTCACAAAGTGTTTTACTTTTTACACCAATTTCTACACACACACGGCACAAGTTTTCTCACTTCAGAGTTAAACAAAACTACAAGTCAAAAACACAACAGTTTATAACTTCATTAGAAAGCCTGCTAATATTATATACTAAATCTAGCTCACAAACATTTCACTTTCTTGCAGTACAGAAGCTTGCTGATAAAATTAGAGCCAACTAAATTTGTCTTTAATATCTAACCCATCTTTGGAGAAGATGTTATATATCTAATAGCCAACAAAAAAAACTTGGTAGCCGCAAACTTACTGTGATTTTATGATATACCTTATGTTTACTACATGGCATAAAAATATTTAGCTAATAATATTTTAATAGTACTCTACGGCTCTGTAATATACCGAAACAAATTTATATCCTCTGATGAAAGTTTTATATTTTTACATCAACTTGAAGATATTTGATGATAAATTGTGACAAGATTTTTAATAAATCAAATTTCAACTACTTATTTACACTTGTCTGATAAATATTTCAAAAATTCATTTAGTTACTCCTGCTGGCAAATATTCACTAGTACTGATAAGTTGTAATATTGTATCCAACTGTGCAAGTAATGGAACCAATAGCGTTTTGAGAAAATACAAATTATTTTTTAGTGTAGGGTTTGCTAGTTGCCAATGACAATCAGACTTCGGGCAAGGCTGAAATAACAAATAGTTAAAATTTTTCTAAAACGACAATTTAAAATAATCTATTGGAAATAAAATGATATAGAATTTTTTAGAAATACTTTAAAAAAATGTGTACTAACAATAAATCCTTAACGACATTTTGGTGATAAACAGGATTTTTCAATGCTACTTTCTAGAGGTTACAGAATCTAATGACTAACAACTAATGAAATGTAAGTACAGAAAAACCTACATCAGCATGTAACAATGAACTAATGTATGTCTACTGCAACATATCTCACTCACGCATAACACTGATTTACAGTTACTGTTTGGTTGTTACAGAAATTGATTATTAAAAAGTTTATCTGCTAATAGTCATCTTTAATTTTGAACTGACAGACTAGAGATAATTCAGCTAGACAACAGCATCAGGCACCAAATCTTGGGCTACTTTTTCTGACTAAATAGAGGGGTTTTACCACCACTCTTATTTTGAACTCTCACAACACCACAGTACAAAGCCAGTTTTTGGCAGCAACGGGATCCGACTGTTAGTGTATCCATTTACAACATCAATCACCCTTAGAAATAAAATTGTTCTTTATGACTCGTAAACAGTCGGGCCACATGGTAGGAGTAGTTGTTTACATAAGGGCTAATATAAATTTATAAACTTACTTGATGGTCATTATTAAATTTCTTAGCCAGTGGAGATTTCATAATTCGTAAAACTTCTTTATCAGCTTCGGGACATTTTGATTCTGGATACAGCATCTGTGTCCAGATAAAATGTTTGTTAAAATACTTGTTTATTTTAACTACAAAAGAATAACAAATGTATTATTTAAAATACAGTATATATAAAAAACAGAGAACATACATTAAGATGTTCATTAATAATAACAGAACGTACTGAACATTACACTAATTATTTTTACACTAAGATGTTCATTAAAAATAACATAACGTACTGAACATTACACTAATTATTTTTACACTAAGATGTTCATTAAAAATAACAGAACGTAGTGAACATTACACTAATTATTTTTACACTAAGATGTTCATTAAAAATAACAGAACGTACTGAACATTACACTAATTATTTTTACACTAAGATGTTCATTAAAAATAACAGAAC